AGTCCATGTCGACCAAACAAAGAGTTTTCAAGATCACAAATCCTTTGCCCCAAGCACAATATTTCCTCATCACAATGCATGAACTGAATGCTTTGTGTTGGGTGGTGGTGCATCCTCTTCACAGTAGCACCAAACTTAGCAGGATATGAAGGGGAAGCATGTAGGTAGTGATGTCAACTTAGTTAGCTTCTCCTCCGCTCCCAAGAACTTTTTGGATGAACACATTGATTGCAACAATGAGGGTGATGACTTTGTTAAGGGACAATGACTATGGCTTGGAGAGCTCTCGTGTAAGAACCCCAGCTTTCGAATGTTAGAGAAGGCTAGTTGGACTATAGGATCATATGGTCAAGGATGGCTCTATTCAGTTGAGGCTACCACAATTGTCGTCAAGGAGTTAGTACGAAAATGATCTACAACAAGTTTTGATATGTTGTGGAGTTTGTAGAGGTGAATCATGGCTCTCGACCTTTATTGGATAGTCAGGTGGATATAGTGACTTCGTTAAATGCTTCCTATGTTATGATGCATCAGTAAGCTCGTGAGAATGAAATGCTTGATCAATCGGTCCCAACACAAATGAAAGTGGCATACAAAAAATAGATTCCTCAATAGATCCTAGATTAGAACACAAAAGTAGTCTAATGCAGTTATCATTTGATAAACTAGTATAAAATAGAGTATAGGAACCACTAAGATCATAAAAGGTTAAAGTCATAGGATTAACCAATCAACAAAATTTAATAGTAAGTTTATTGTCAAGAAAACTCAATAAGAAAGTTTAACTATGAAAGATTGTAGATAGCACATCAAACAACTTAAGAAAGATAGCTCAAAGAACATAAAATATTATTGACTGACAAGCAAAATGCTCATAAATATATCACTTAAAAAAATAACATTTAAATCTATTAAAACTAACTGTAGTAACAATCAACAAAATAGAATGAATATTGCAAATTAAACAAATACTCATTCATGCTAACCATTATACCAGCCAATCCGAATAGATCTCAGTTAACTATACTAAGGAACTCAAGTTTGTTAAACAAGCGTAAACAACATTCAACTTATATCTCAAACCTAAGAAATTAATCTAGAGCAAACTACAAAAAACATATGGTAATGAGAAAAGCTAAAAGCCATCAAAGAGAATAACTAATTATCATGAAACATCATCAATCATTCCATCAATAGAGAGATGCATAATCATCATCAAAAAAAGAATCTACTAGGCATAATAGAGAGGGTGTCTTGGTAGACATGATAAACTATTATTTAGCAAATATTAAAGGACCAAACTCAATATCATGTGATCCAATCTGACATATTTGGTTCTATATAAAACAAAATGCTCCAGAAGCAAACATGAAATTTCATAGCTGACTTAGATGGCCCTTGATAGAGATGATACAATTGCTAAAAAGTAGCACTATAATTGTCAACATATCCAAATACACACTTGAAAATGTTCAAAACAAGGCTCCAATCCACACAAATAATTACACTCAAACTAGTGTACTATTGTAATGCCGTCCTTTAAAGTCATCATCTATATTTGTATGACACTAACAACATTGTGTCATCTATAATGTCTACTATTCTAGAATTAGTATATGGTATTATAGCCATACATAAATATTAAATGTATATTTGCTTTAGAAAATGAGAGAGTGTAAAGAATATACCTAGAATATTAAAGTATATTCTAGGATATTCCCTAATCTAACAGCTGTAATTTTCCACATTTAAACTTCCTCTAAATCATTTGTAATAAGTGCTTAATATTAATCACTAATATAAATCATTCATATTAAGGTAGGTGGAACTTGTTGAACTTTGATTATCCTTAATAAACATATCTACTTCGAGTTCAATATTGTTTATAATATAGGCATTAAATCTGAATCATCCACTGGAGTTTGTACCAATGGAAAAAGTCCAAAACCTTCACATAATTGATCATGGGACTTCTTAAGATTTAAAATTACTGATCATCACCTTTTTGTATAGTTATTCTTAATCAATGGATATGTTGGGATGTCCTTCATCCAAAACTTTAGAAATACTACCAATAATATTATTATTGTTAGGCTGGCATGGAAAACCTTGGATATAACTAAAAGCCACATTAATGCATGACTAGAGTTTTATCTTGCTAATATGAAACTCTAAAGGCTTTTAGTAGCTAATAAGAATGTAACTACCCTTTTTATAAAAATCATTTTTGAGAGAGCACTTTGAAATCTGCAACCTTAGTTATAAAGCTAATATGCTTTTTGTGAAATGCATTTTTGAAATCTCATCAGTGTGGAACAATGAAATAACTTGCCCATTGAAGTGATTCCAACCTATGGCTGAAGAGTCCATCTACATCTTCATGAGTATGTCCAACTATAAGAAAGCTTAAACTCACTGCTTCAATAATCTACTCAAACTCTAAATTCTCACATGATGCATGATTATGCAAAGGGCTTCAATTTTCTGTTGTAATATTAATATAAGACTTATTAGTTTGTTGATATTCAATAAAATTATTCTTGTATTTCTAAATTATAAATATGTTTATAGTATAAATTTCCA